CCATCAGACCTCCATCACTCCTTCATCCCTCCACACCCCTTCATCCCCCATCACTCCTTCATCCCTCCACACCCTAAACCCCTATCACCCTCCAATCCCTTCCCTCATCACCCCCTCACCCTGCAACCCACCTCCCGCTAACACCCTGCCCCTCTCCCTCCAACACCCTCCTTTATCAACGCCTTCCCATTCCACCTCCCACACCATCTCCTCACCCTCCAAAATTCTCCCTCATCACCCCCTTTCCCCCTATCTCCCCTCCCTCATCACCCCCTTTCCCCCATCTCCCCTCCCTCATCTCCCCATTTCTCCCTCCCTCATCTCCCCATTTCTCCCTCCCTCTAACATCCTCACCCTCACCCTCTGACATCCTCACCCTCCAACCCAGCACCTCATCATCTGTCCCCAACCCATCCTCTAGCATGGTCGAAATGTTCGGGCATAATAGGCTATGGACCAAAAGCAGGTAAATGGGATTAGTGTAGTTTGTTGGCTGGCATTGACCTGGTAGGCTCTCCCCACCCTCTGCTCCCTTTCAACACACTGCACCCCATGGAGACAGCAAGAACTGCAGATGCTGGATTCAGAGGCAATACACTGTGGAGCTTATTTTTTCTATTCATGGGTGTCACTGGCTAGGCCAGCATTTCTTGCCCATCCCTAGTTGCCCTTGAGAAGGTGGGGGTGAGCTGCCTTCTTGAACCGCTGCAGTCCTCCTGCTGTGGGTTGACCCACAATGCTCTTAGGGAGGGAATTCTAGTATTTTGACCCAGTGACAGTGATGGAACAGCGAAATATTTCCAAGTCAAGATGGTGAGTGACTTGGAGGTGAACTTGGAGGTGGTTGTGTTCCCATATGTCTGATGCCCTTGTCCTTCTAGGTGGAAGTGGTCATGGATCTGGAAGGTGCAGTCTGAGGATTTTTGGTGAATTTCTGCAATGCATCTTGTAGATCTTGTACACACTGCTGCTACTAAGAGTCGGTGATGGAGGGACTGAATGCTTGTGGATGTGGTGCCAATCAAGCCGGCTGCTTTGTCCTGGATGGTGTCAAGCATCTTGAGTATTGTTGGGGCTGCACTCATCCAGGCAAGTGGGGAGTATTCCATCACACTCCTGACTTGTGCCTTGTAGATGGCGGACAGGCTTTGAGGAGTAGGGAGGTGAGTTACTCGCTGCAGTATTCTTAGCAGAACTCTGAGTCCTGATGAAAGGTCCTGACCCAAAACGTCGACTTTCTTGCTCCTCTCATGCTGCCTGACCTGCTGTGTTCCTCCAGCTCCACACTGTATTGCCTCTGCGCCCCTCTCCCATCTCTCTTCCCTTCCCCTCCTTCTGTCTCCTATCCTATTCCTGTCTTCCAATTCCCTCCCCTCCCACCCCTTGCTTCCACATCCTCATTCATCTTTTCGTCCCTCTCAAACCCCTCTCACCCAATGCCTATTCCTAAACCCTTCAGCACTGATAGAATGCTGAAGATGAGAAGTTATGCGTCAGTTATGGGGAGACTGTACAGCATTAGTCACCTTATTTCAGGCAGGATGTTAATACGTTGGAGGCAACTCGGAGGAGATTTACTGGAATGATACCTGGAATGTGTGGATTGTCTTATGAGGAAAGATTGATCCAGCAAGGCTTGTGTCTGTGGCATTTAGAAGAGCAAGAGGTGACTTTTTTGATTAGAACATACAATCCTGAGGGGTCATGACAGCGTAGATATAGAGAGGATGTTTTGTCTTGTATAAGAATTGAGAATAAGTGCTCACTGTTTAAAATTAGGTGTCAATCATTAAAACTGACATGGACTGCAGTTAGAATTTTGACAAGGTGTCACACGTGAGATCAAGAAAGTTACAGTCCATGGGATCAAGGGTAATTTACCAAATTGGATCCAAAATTACCTTAGTGACAGGAGGCAGAAGATGATTTTTGTGACTGGAAGTCTGTGTATGTAGGTTTGGTGCTGGCTACTTTGGAGTCTTTGGAACTTTCCCTGGAAAGGTGATGAAGGCAGAATTCTTGAATATTTTTAAGGCGGAAGTAGATAAATTCTAGTTAAGCAAAGGTGTGAAAGATTATTGAGGTAGGTAGGAAAATTTGATAGTACAAGCTGAATGACAGAGTAGGCTCAAGCAGCCAAATGACCTCCTTCGTTCATCTGCTTATTCTGACTGTTGCATTGCAGTAAGCTCAAGAAAAGTTGGATTTGGGAGACCATCAAGCTTGTCAGAGCAAAAATTGAATCCATCAGCACCTGAAGAAGGAGTAAGACTCTGAAAGCTTGTGTTTTCAAATAAACCTGTTGGACTATAACCTGATGTGTGATTTCTGACCTTGTCCACCCCAGTCCAACACCGGCACCTCCACATCATGGATAGCCTGAAATGACAGTATTTCATTTTTGTGCAAATATATTATCTTTCTTCTAAATCTTTTTCTCTGTGCATTGATAGATTAATGGTAAATATAAGTTTATCAAATGTGATTTGAGTTGATTATTATGGATGTATCCAGGAGCTATTAATTGATCAGCATCTTGTCAAATAATCGTTTGTTTCACTTTTTTTTTATTTTACAGTTTTTTCAAAAGTACTGATATCACATCCAGGAAATGGACTGTGATCCCCAAGATCTGAAGGAGTCAATGTTTAATAATTTCAGTGACGTTGCAGATTGGGAAGAGAGAGACTTTGCTGGGGCAGAGGTGAAGGATATGAGAGTGGAGGCGGAGGCAGTGGTCAATGATGTCAACTTTGCTGTTCGTCACATGGCTGTCTCGAAAAGCCTCCCAATTGGAGAAGATGTTGCCTACATTAATGTAGAAACAAAAGAAGGAAACAGATACTGTCTTGAGCTAACTGAAGCAGGACTCCGGGTGAGAACAGCAACTGACTGATACCAGCTAATACAAAAATAGTTTTTAATCTGGGTTAAATTTCCTGTGTCTTAATTTTTACTACTTTATTGCCTCTTAATGATGACTTTTACATTATTTTGACTTGTAAGGCCACAATGATGTTTCTGAAACATATCTTGCAATCAGGAGATAATGGAATATTTCTAATTGCACTAGATTAGTAATCCAAAGGCCCAGGCTAATGCTGTCACCAAGGCAGCTGGTAGAATTTAAATTCAAATAATAAAATTTGGAATTTTCAGATGTGAAAGAGACATGGGGTGAAAGCAGGAATATGGCATTGATATAGAGGATCAACCATGATCATAATGAATGGTATAGCAGGCTCAAAGGGCCAAATGGCCTACTTCTGGTTTCTGTAATGTCCTGATGGATTTTTTAATTGGGCAAATGAGGAGAAATTGTCTCTGGTATTAAAGGAGTTAAAATATAGAGGCCACAGATTTATAGTGATTGGCAAAGGAAGCAGAATTAAGATTTTAAAAAAAAATAGCAAATTGTTGTGATCTGGAAGCAGATTCAACAGTAACTTTCAAAGAACAATTCGAGAAATACTTGGCATGTTATTCAGGGATGTGCGGTGAAGGTTACAGGTTGGTGTGTTATTTGGAGATGTGTTGTTTGGCAAGGTGTTCATTCTACAGATGAGACATTTTGGTTTTTGAGTTTGCAGCATCCTGCATTGCGTGGTCAAGGGATTAATTTAATTTGCGTCTGACCTGTTTTTCCCCTTCCAGGTGGTAGCTTATGGCTTTGACAATGTGGATGAATCGCTGTCGATGCAGTACCATGAAACCATTTACTCTCTCCTGGACTCACTCAGCCCAGCATATCGTGATGCATTTGGTAATGCACTTCTGCAGAGACTCGAAGCTTTAAAAAAAGTACAGGAATGAAAGGCCTAATTCTTGCTCCTTGTGGTTACAATTCTCAACGATGTTTTCTTTGGCTGCATAATGTTCTGCACCAAACATACAGGACAAGAGGTGACTCTCATTCCGCAGAAAGTTGGTGAATTGTTTGTTTTTTTTCCATGTTTACACAGCAGTGTAGTTGGGATCCACATTGTTGGAGAATTTCATACCTCCTCCTCACTCCTACAGAGAGAGAGGAAGGATGTTTGTAAGTTCCATTACTGTAATAAACTGCCATAGCCCCTTTAAGAAATCAGTCTGCATAATTGCAGCAATGATGTTAAAGCACAGGCAACAGGAGAGTGCCTGTGACCCATGGCTATGTAAAGGGCAATGGACATTGTTTAGGGCTCTTGGTGAGAGAGAAGCAAGTGACCCTAGTGTTCAGATCAGACCATCATGTGCTTCTCCCAGCTTTCTCATTTAAAAATGTTGCTTCATTTTACACATTGTACTTTGACTTGTTAACTTGTTAATTTAGAAAGAACACCTTCCTGTGCTATTAAATTGTGAAATACAGGTCAAACCCCTGGAGTAACTCAAATTCCAAGGTGAAAAAAGAATTCTGCCGTTTCAAAAAAAGTTAATGTATGTTTTACGAAAAAATAAAATATTTTGGACACAGTTTACTCTGCTCTTTCAGTACTGAACATCCATTAACTAATTGTGAGGGCTTTTAATTTTGTGAAAATTTATTAATTTTCTCTTATTCTTTCAGTTCACTCACCATCCTACCTTTCATTGTAGTGACAATGTCACTGGGTCCAAATCCTCAAAGCAGATTCTTGGGGGACTTGACAGGGTGAAAATGGAAAGGTTGTTTCCCGTAAGGGAGAGTCTAGGACTAGAGGGCATAATCTCAGAATAAGGGATTGGCCGTTTAAGGTAGAGGTGAAGAGTAATTTCTTCCCTTGGACAGTTGTGAATCTGTGGAATTCTTTCCCACAGAGGGCCGTTAAGGCTGCATTATTAAATATAATGAAGGCTGAGAGACAGGTTTTCAATCAGTAAGATAATCGAGTGTTACGGGGAAAAGGCAGGAAAGTGGAGATAAAGATTATTAGATCAGTCATGATCTCATTGAATAATAGGGTTGACTGGATGGGTCAAGTGGTCAGCTCACCACACCTTCTAGAAAGCATTTAGGAATGGACAAGAAATGCTAGCTAGCCAGTGACATTCATGTCCGATGAGCAAATGATACAGTTCCCACCCATTCGTTCTATGCAGTCTAAAATCCACTCGCATGGCAAGGAGAGCATCTGACATTAGTGTCTGAACAATGGACACTTCAACAGGCTCGAGCGTGAATTGGGGATACACTTCAGGAATTCCTTACTTTGTGACATTGTCTGTTTGACTATCTTCCATCAGTCAAGATGAGAACGCCTGTTGTGGGAATTCTGGATTAAAAACCATTATTTACCAGTTTATGAGAGTGTCATAATCTTTTTCCTCCAAAAGAAACACTTCAGAAGTACTGGTTGCCAACAGTAACCAGTCAGAGATTGGTTTCATCAGTATCCACTATCCTGCATTACCCTCCAAGTAACTTGTTTTTTCAGCTTTTTGACAATAAAGGACTAATCCTGGTTCAGGCTGATTTTATATTCACTGGCGTTCACACGTATAAACCCTTACCACATAGATTACTGAATAACAAATTCAGAGCAGAAATCACAACTAGTTTTCCTGTTCCCCTGTTGCCTTGCCAATAAACACACTGATATTGTGGAACGTACTGTGGCACGAACTCCAGCTCCTTTTCAGCCCACAAAGTAAGATTCCAACAGCTTCTGTAACCTAAGCCAAACAATTGGAGTTTGAACCTTGGCTATCTTTTCCATTGCATTAACCCTTGGCCTTCCTCCCAAACCTGTTGTTTATGACACAGAGCTCAGCATGTTCCACACAATATTTGAAGCATGAATTTGTCTACTGCCTCTGAATCAGATTCAAGCTCCACTTGATTTGAGCACCTAATCCAGGATAACAATCCCAGCATTGAATGAGTGCTCCGCTGTTTTTTGATGAGCTACTGAACCAAGGCCCTCTCTGCACCATCAAATAGGTGTAAAAGGTTGTTGGAAGAAGAGGAGGTGAGCTCACCAAGTCCTCTGGCCAATATTTATCCCTCAATCAATCTCACTGGAAGTACATTATCTACTTGTTCTCTCATTGCTGTGTACAAATTGTTTGCCATATTTCCCTTCATTGCAATGACAATTGGAGGGGACGAAAGAATGTCTTGTGGTGCAGTGGTATTGTCCCTATCTCTGGTCAAGAAGTTCTAGGTTCCAGTCCTACCTCCCTCTGGGAAGAAGAACACATACAAGATCCTCGCTTTAAACGGATATCCCCACACCTTCATCCACAGATGCCTACATAACAGACAACAACAGGAAGACACAGTATGACTTAACACACTGGCCACACTGACCTACATCAAGAACATATCGGAACTGACAACAAGACTCATAAGACTACTAGGTATCATGGTGGCCCACAAGCCCACAGCCACTCTACAACAAATACTTACAAGGATTAAAGACCCCATTCCCATAACATGCAGAACGAACGTGGTTTACAAAATACCATGCAACGACTGCCACAAACATTACATCGGACAGACAGGAAGGAAACTAGCTATCAGAATACACGAACATCAGCTAACTGCAAAACGGCACGATGAACTCTCCTTAATATCTGTACATTCAGACAATGAAGGCCATCAGTTTAAATGGGACAAGGTAACCATAGTAGCCCGAGCCAAACAAAGACATGCATGGGAATTCCTAGAGGCATGATCTCAGCCCATAATGCAATCAACAAACGTATAGAATTGGACCCCATACATAAACCCATACAGATCAAAACTGGAAATGGCACTACTCACCATAACGGACCAGACAGTATAAATTCCAAGTGGAGTAGAATATCGTCGCTTCATGGGAGGCTCCGCTGATGATGTCACCTAGCACAATGATGAAATGTCTGAACAAAAACAAGCCAGCTCGGCGAGCAAGTGAACAACCTCATTCCAAGGCCTTTTACAGGAGCGATATAAAATGTGATGCATACTGTAAAATGGAAGGTGAATTCAGGGAAGTTGGTCTAAAATCTTGATCGTCAAGATGGATCAGAGCTAGTACTTGTAAGGACCACCTTAAGGAAGAAAAGACAAGTGGTGAGGCAAAAGGATTTAGGGAAGGCCCAAGCAGCTGAAGACCTGACCTCCAATAGTGGAATTCAAAATTGGGCCAGCATTTATTGCCTATCCTTAGTTGCCCTCTAAAAGGTGGTCACCTTGAATTGCTGCAATTCATCTTCGGTAGGGTGCAGAGATCCCAGTTTATTTGCCCTCTTCGGTTAGCAGTTACTGTGATAGCTGAGTAATATGCACTGAATCAGTGATGGCTGTAACCCCCCGAGAGACGTTCAGTGGCAAGCTTGCTATCAGAATGAGACCAACAGATCATCCATGTCTGTGGCACAGGACATCTATAAGCAAGAACCTCATGTTGACTAGAATCAATGTCAACGCACAGGACATTCTTTCTGCTGACAGACAGCATGGACACGAGTAGTCAGGAGGAATGGAGAAGGATACAAGACACGACCCCAAGGCAGAAAATAGAGCCTGCTAGAAGGAACAGAAGATTTAGGAACAAAGGTCAATCATTTGACCCTGTGAGCCTGTTCCATTATTCAATAAGATCAGGGCTGATTGGGCAATGGTCTAAGTTCCACTCTCCTGACTACATCCCATGAATGTAGTTTCTTTTGCTTATCAAAATTCTCTCTAACTCTGCCTGGAATAAATGTAAAGATGCAGCCTCCACTATTTTCTGAGGAAGAGAATGATGCACTCTCATAACTCTCTGAGGGGGAAATAAGTCTCACTTTTTAAAAGGGAGACATCGCATCCCTAAAACATGATCCCTTGTTTTCGTCTCCTCATGAGGAGAAACATCTTCCAGGTATCCAGTCTCTTCATGTTTCAAGCTTCTCATTTTTCTAAACTCCAATATATATAGCCCAACCTGTTCGACCTTGCTTCATAAGATAAGCCCTTCATCTCAGGAAGGAGTTGAATTAACTTTCTCTGAACTAAAATCATTGTATCTTTTTTAAAATTAGGAGAACAAAACCATACCCAATACTCCAGATGATCTCACCAATGCCCTGTAAAACTGCAGTAATTCTTCCATACTTTCATATTCTATTCCCTTTGCAATAAACAATATTTGCTGGATATGCAGGCAAGAGGGGATACAGAGTTGGCAAAGGGATATGGATATGTTAAGTGTGTGGGCAAGAAAATTGGCAAATGAAAGGGTATAACAAGGGAAAGTATGAATCTAAATAAAAACCAAAAGAACCTCAGGGGAGCCAATGGCCTAGGACTGTTAATCCAGAGACACAGCTAATGTTCTGGAGACCTGGGTCCAAATCGCCACCACAGCAGATTGAATTCAATAAATATGTGGAATTAAGAGTCTAATTATGACCGTGAATAAATTGTCAGGGGTGGGAAAAAAACCATCTGGTTCACTAATGTCCTTACCTGGTCTGGCCTACATGTGACTCCAGACCGACAGCAATGTGGTTGACTCTTAACTCACCTCTGGGTAATTAGGGATGGGCAATAAATGCTGCCTAGCCAGTGATGCCCTCATCCTGTCAATGAATAAAAAAAGAACCTTTTGGGATTCATGTACGGACACCCAGTATGCCATCACTCTCCATTTCAAATACTGTGTTCAGAAGAAGAGTCACGGGACTCAAAATGTTAACTCTGTTTCCTCTTCTGCTGAGTTTCTCCAGCAATTTCTGTTTTTCTGTTTGTTTCAATAGTATGCTGCTTTTCTATTCCTGCCAAAGTGGACAGATTCATACAGGTTCTGAGGAAGGGTCACTGGACCCGAAATGTTAACTGTGTTTTTTTCCTTCACAGATGCTGCCAGGCCTGCTGAGCTTTTCCAGCAACTTTGATTTTGTTTATGATTTACAGCGTCTGCAGTTTTTTTTTCAGTTTTTATTTAGGTTCAAGCCTTGTCCAAACCCTCCACCATTTCTTTGTCTTCCATTATCCAAGGAAAAAAATCATTTGTTCTCAGCCCAATTGTCCCAAATGTGGAAGGTACTGCCACTTCTGAATTGGACGAAAGACAGACTAGAAATGTCATACACCCTGGACTCAGTCCAATGCCTCCTGAGAGGGATAGATGGCAGAATTTCTCCTGATGGTCAAAGTTGTATCCAGTAAACTTAAAAATAATTTATGTTGTTTCTCTGCCTCAAAGCCAACCACTAGTTACCAATTCTGATGAAGGGTCTAGGCCCGAAACGTCAGCCTTTCTGCTCCTCTGATGCTGCTTGGCCTGCTGTGTTCATCCAGCTCTACACCTTGTTGTCTCAGTTACCAATTCCCCTTCACTTCTCTAGGAATTCAACAGAGGGAGCCGTAGTGGGCAGACTTGATAGGTTCAGGGAATGAACGCCCTCTGCTGGGGAATAAGATAATGGTGCAGCACCTGCCTGTAGTGCCCCCTGCTGGCAGGCATGGAGTTGTGCAGCTTCCCTGTGCAGCGCCACCTGTTGGTGGCTAGATGGAGGTGCAGTGAGT